CATCTTTATCTACTAGTACATCCACTATACCGTTAATGTGGTGGATATATTACATGGAAGTCGTCCTCATTATTATATTAATATCATAGAACAGCATTATGTCCACAAAAAAGCAAGGCCTAATAGAGGAGCTAAATTCACCAAGATTTCTCACACGATACCGATTAACATAAAATGCCAACCAGTTTATGAAAAATAATTGCTTTCGTTTTTAGAAGTTGAATAAATCTAAGAAAGAATCATAGACAGGAAACGAAGCTGAAAATGAATATTCATAAATCCTATTCCACCATCAACACAAAAGATAATGTATGAATCTTGTCTTACAACAGAATAATCTTTTTTTAAGGAAATAAGTTGAAACACTGGTGGGGGGGTTGGGTGGCGGTGGAGGCATCCCAATGGGCGGAGGGAAATAAGATTTTAAACTTTGTATCTAAATCGAAAAAGTGCTTATTTCATGTGTGATTATATATCCAAGATGAATTAATTTTTCATAATATTTCTCTTTACTAGGCCTCATATTCGAGTCTTTAGGGCATACAACGAAGGAGGGGGCCCCAGACCTCCACACGCCACTGAGCTGAAAACATGATATTTTCTGATATTTCTCTGTCGCGTCACCAATAAGGGAAGAAGGCATAATGTATATAGTAAAATGAAACCAGGAATTATGCAAAAAATGCTGTTTGATCTACAAGGTTGAAGTTGAGGGACAGGCGTCGACCAAATAAGTTAGTGTTCCAGATAATTTAAAGGAGTGGTGCCAGTGCTGAAGATAATAAACGCATGTAATAATGGCGAGTTCTGTGTCTTTATCCCAAAATACAGAAAGATATGCAAGATTACAAACGGTTGAAACACCTATAGATTAAGCTACGAATATACATCCTGCCACGGGTATGTGGGGCACTACGGAAGGGCTTTCTGTTAATAACCTAATACCTGATTTTTGTATACTGAAGATTCTGCCGTCAAAACTATGGAATTTCCGAACAAATGGGATACTTTCATTCGACCATTGAGTAAACCGAAGAAAGAAGATGTATCACTTGGCTCTGAGAGAAATCTGATTGAGCACTTCTTAACTCGACATAATTTCCCACGTGACATCGACTACAAAGGCAAACTCTTAAACGTTTTTAACTCGACTTGTAAAATCAGTAAACCCATCATCAGTAGTACGGAACGAGAGATCCCCCTTGATCCAGTTGCCGATGCAGACATGCTTTCGATATTAAGCATAATGGCTGGATAAATTGTTAAAGACCTTTTGTTTAGGTATTTATATGTTTATACAGTGAGATAGAAAACTGCAGACTTATACATTAGACCCTTGTTAATTAGAAAACTGCAGACATACATTAGACCCTTGTCCAATATTGAAAAGCGCTCCCTGCTGATCACTTGATTTTTCAAGATCAAAATAAACTATTCAGCAAGAAGCAATATTAATTTAGGAAGGTGCACTAACTGACTGTCAATGGGAACTTCTGAAGAAACGAATGATATCCAAGACTCATTATAAAGACAATGATGCTTTTAATGATGACTGCACACTACCTTTCCTATGATCAGGATAACTGCACAGAAATTAATCAATTTTGTAACGACTTCCAGACTCCTAATTTTTTTCAGATATATCGATTCATAGAAGGGCCAAACCAACTGCCTTCTGACAGCACTCTTTTATCCTAGAGGTGGGTAAAGCTCCCTCGCGGTCATCGTTTGGCTCTCATAACAACTTGCTATCCCAACACTACAATACACACCATAAATGTAGTCAAAGTTGTAGTCCCGATATCTATAAATAGTATCTAGTAATCCTCTGATGCCGGGACTGTGAATTATGAAATATTTGAAGGTTTGAGAAGGAACGATTGTAAATTCCAAAAAAAAAAAGTATTTTCTAAATACATTTACGCTGCTGTATATACAATATACGCTAGACCACTGGTTGTTGCTTATTTCAAGGTATCATCCATATTTCCATAGATGTGGAAAGGGATGAAAGGAAACATAATAATGTCATGGCGACGTATGTTGTATGCGGCATACAAAAGCGACGCTTGACTACTGCAAGGAATACGTTACAGTGGGTTTAACTAGATAAATTTGGTAATATCAGCTGAAGAGGCTTGGTACTATAATCTAAAGAGGCATGATGCTATCAGCAAGGGAATGGAGTGCATCTTGGATATGGAGTGCAATGAGTCTGGTGATGCCTGCAGTGATAAAGAATAGATTTAGTATGTGGATATGATCCCAGGGTTGGCTATGGAAAAGATGGCACTGATACCTAAAGAATGTATTACCATTGGGAGGTATTTAAACGGCCACGCAGTATACTTTTGAGGATGCTTTCGCTATCACAGTGGAAAGAGCAATGGTGAAAGGAAAGCATGAGTTGATTTTTCAGTTGCCTATAAACCGGAAAGCCTGATAGATTTGCTGAAGGGACCATCTATCACCTGGAGGAACAGAATGCCATAACCACCTGTAAGAAATCAGGCACCATGATTGGTAAAGACATGTTCAGACAGATTTCCTGATGTGTATGAAGAACTACGTGTAAAAATCAGGAACTTTAAACGGACCTTAATTAACCGTATAAACTCGTTTAGGATATTATCAGGCTGAGCCTACATAGTGTTAGAGTGAGGGAATGTCTTCATCACACGGGTTATAGTTTCGAAGGTGAAAGGCAGTAGGAAAAGTGGACGGGAAGGTATCTCAGTCTTAGATTGGGACGAAATATTAACAAAATTCAATATCACTGGAAAAATGAAAGAGGTTGTTTGCAAGGGGATAGTCTACCCTGACGAACCACTTTGCGAAAAAAAACTATTGATATGAATTATTGGTCACACAAATGGCGTTATGAAGGCATCAATACTATGTTTTAGTAAATCTAACCCAGGCTGAAATGTGATCCGTCTTCTTTTAGAATAGCATCGTCAAAAGTAATTGACACCTAACTAGCACCCACAAGATTTCAGATACTAAGAAAAAATAAGAAAAAAATGCTCAGCTAGCTTCTCCATATTAAGCCAGAACAATGAGTAAAAATGTATTTAGCCGAGAAACAATCAATTTGGACAATGTTTACAATTGCAAGGGGATTTCAAACTTCCGAGAAAATTATGACATATTATTGCACAGATATACCTGAAAGCTCATGGAATGGGTTCAACAAACCACGTTTTCACATTGATTACAAAGGATCGTCGCAAACACTACTTGTATCATCAATGTATATAAACATAAAGGTCAGTTCAAAGAAGTGATAAGACACTGATGACGGAGAGAAAACAACCTATTGATAATAAAAATAGGCAAAATTACGTACCAATTTTCTTGGGAGATAAGCATATGCACGGGCTGAAGATGAGACATAAACTAAAGGTAACAAAACGTTAGAAAGATCAAATGCGATGGAGGTAACAAAAGGCAAAAGGGATTATGAAAGACTTTTGGCTGATAGATCTATAGAATACCTTGAATAAAGGATGTGTTTGGTATAAACAACTTCATGGCAATAATATTAAAATTTTAGCCGTGGTTAAGGCGTGTTTCCTTTACCATCGTACATTTCATATGAAATAAACATCGACCGTCATTTTCTCAAGACTCAAGCTTTTCTTTATTAAACTTCAGGACTTTTCTTACGTAATGAAGAACTCGGTCTCATTTAGTTCAGGAAGACATTACTCAAATACACAGAAAGTCTCACATCTCTGTCTGTCTGTCTCATACTTTCATTCTCTCTCTCACGCGCGCCCATTAGTGTGAGTCGGAGTGAAGCTAAACTTCATGGAGCTCAAGGACTGAATCACAAGCCAACAAACTTTCTTATCCAGCCAGATATCAGTTTTCATTACTTTCAGTATAGTCAATTTAAAAAAGTTCTCAATTTTGATTAGATCAAGAGAATAATCACTTTAAACAACTGTTACATCGTACCTCAGATTTCGGAAATCCGCGATCACAGATGCGGATTTCGTATTTAGGCAAATTATGAATGTACATATAAATGCGGATTAGGTATCTTTAACATTCACGCTGAGGAATTTTTTATGTAAGCATAATCATAAACTTTAGAATCGGCTTTTCAGTAAGATATATTTAAATGATATTTAACTGTTTTCTTATGCTACACAATAAATACTATATAATTGATACATTCACGAGAAATACACAATTTAGTTGATATTATTGAAAATTACAATTGCATGTGATATAGACGCCTGACAATAGATCAATAGATACTATATGGGTATCACAGGGCATAACATTTTCAGGTTCGTGTGTGTGAGGCAGGAGGGAGGGGGAGAGAGGAAAAAAGATAAAAAGAAGGGAGAGAGAAAGAGGGAGGAAAGGAGATAGATGGAGATAGATAGATACAGATTAATAGATGGAGATACAGAAGGATAGATATATTACAAAGCCAGGTGTACCAGTAGGAGCAGAGCTAGAGAATACAAGCAGCAATAGAAGGGAGAACAACAAAGACGATAACAGATAAAGCACATATCTGCATTTCTTATTTACTGGTGTGGATGTAATTGTGCATAAAGGGTTAATGCAGATTTGATTTTTAAAAATTCTATGCTGACAATCCACAGATGCAGAGGTTTGATACATGAATACTTTGACTTAATTATCTTTAAAAAATATGTAGACCCTCTGTTGAATAATATTGCAGATATAGTGCTAGCCAATAATACTAAGACTACATGCTTGTGGGAATTTTGCATACTGAGCTTTAATACATTCCTTAAACATCTTTTACAAGAAAGACTTGTGTTGCATATACTCCTCAGGTTACCAGTATTTCTATTTTGTTGTTTTCTGAGGAACTAATGTTCATAATTAGGTGTTATTGATAACCATAGCTAAAAAAGGAGAGCAAGAGATTAGTTGGAAAAAATCCTATTCTTTAATATTTTCATAACACAATATGGACAATTTGCCTTACTCCAGTCTGCTTATCTTTTGTTGTCTCCTCTGATGCAACCTATTACTTTTTAAAACACAAAAAAGGGGTTATAAAGATTGCCATTTTTTTATTATTTTTATTAACAAAAGAAAATCTGATCGAGTTTCTAAACATAACATTTTTGTATCACTGGTCTTAGGTACTGTTTAACAGGCAGATCCACTTCAAGGAGGCAGGTATCATAGCCATTACATTCTTTCTGATACAATCCTTTTTCCAAGTAGCAAAAGTTATAAAAGAGTATGTATATACATTCTGATTCAGTAAGCCATACATAATGATCTTGTTTTGAACCATAAACATAGGTAAAATTTATACACTGTTTATTAAGAAAGTAAAATGAACTTAAACTAATGTGATCACAGGGTATTTACTTGATCCTGTAAAGCATCTTGCGCTGAAGACGGTGCTGGAGCTCCCCACGCCGGATCATGAAGTGCAATACCTTGTATACAGCACGCTCTGGGTATTTCTGTAAAAAATGTTCCGTCATTTTAGACTCTCTACCCATCTCCAAAATAAGGAAAAAGAAAAGAGAAAGAAATGGAAAGAACAGAAGAAGAAATTAACATGAATATAAAACCTACATAGAACACAATAAAAAAATAGGGGGCAATAGTTTCTTAGAAAACCAATCAGTCTAAATACAGAACATCATGAAATAAAATTGTATTACCTGTCTGAGGAAGTCCTGAACAATGGCATGTTCTGAAACCTGTGAACCAATGGCAAACCTCTTCTTCAGCTGCTTTTCAATGCGAGACAGCATTTCCTGATCTTCCTCTGTGGTAAAGCCCTCAGCACCTAATAAAGTAATCAGTATTATTGGATTTGCAGATTGTGCATTTGATTGAAATTTTGTAATAAAAGGTAATCAAATATATAATAAACCACACAAGCAAATCTAGTCTTTTTTTCAGAGTACAATTGTAAAATGTTATACTCAACCCACCTGTTAGAGAGCCTGACATCGCAGCATCCAGTGTGGAGACCTGGAAGAGCCTCAGGGCTTCATCAACATCACTCTCTGTTGCAAAAGGCTCCAGTCGCATCTTAGCCAATGATTCGGAAATACGAACAATAGCCTCCAATTGCCTGCAAGTATCATTCATGTTAATAATCTCTAATAACAATTATCACATAAAAACTAATAAAAGCAAATAGAGAAAATAAGTATAACTGACATACACACATACCTGACAGTGATGGGGATGGACAGACGCTTGTCAGAGTTGCTTTCTGCTTCACGAGTTCCTCCTCTCATCAAAACATATCTGTTCTTCAGTTTTTCTCCTGCACTCTCAGAAAGTCTAGGTCCACAACGGCTTTAAAAAGAAAAACAGTGATGTTACTTAGATTCTCAATTTTCTAGATTAAACACATCTATAAACAAAATCACTTATTAAAATTAATTGACAATATATAAAATATTTCTACAAAGAAATCCGTCTGAAATTATTGATTATGCATGGGGGGAAAAAAATATATAATAATAATAAAAAAATAAAAATAAAAATGTGGCTTACCCTCTGCAGTAACTGATGTACTTCTTCAGGAATTTCAGTGACAGCTCTCCCTCAGGAGTGTCATCAGTGGTTTTTAAGGCATTCAAGTGAACATTCATAACGTGCTTGGCCAAAGTCTGAGGAAAATGAAGAGTTAATAGGAATACATCTAAAAATCAATTATGAAAATAACCTTACCACTTATAGGCATTTGCACAATTGATGTAACAAAGATATTAGAAAGTACATATTTTTGTACAGATACACACCGTATCTCGTCCTTCATCATGCTCATCCTTGACGATGTAGATCATGTCAAATCGAGACAGAATGGTAGGCATGAAATCAATATTTTCTTCTCCCTTGGTGTCATCCCAACGTCCAAAGACAGAGTTAGCTGCAGCCATCACTGAGCAGCGGGAGTTCAGGGTGGTTGTGATACCAGCCTTGGCAATGGAGATGGTCTGCTGTTCCATAGCCTCGTGAATTGCAACCCTGTCATCTTCTCTCATCTTGTCAAACTCGTCAATGCACACAACACCGCCATCAGCCAAAACCATAGCTCCACCCTCCATCACAAAGTTCCTCTGCAACAGGTCATAAACTTTATCAATTTTCATTTTCTCATAAGCTGTTTCTATAATATACATATATCTAAACAACTTGCCAATTTCATTTATCATCATATTAGTAATTTAAAACAAGTATTACTATTGAAAATCTCTGATGTATTTCATGATTATCAAATTGGTAAAAGATTCGGTTTTGTGAGTCGAGGAACCAAATATCAATATATTAGTAGCCATGCTTCTAGTAATATTGAAGTACACATATAGGAGGTTGCTTACCGTAACTGGATCTCTTGTGACTGATGCCGTCAAACCAGCAGCAGAAGAACCTTTGCCAGATGTGTAGACAGCAATTGGAGCAACACGTTCCACAAACTTTAGGAGCTGGGACTTGGCTGTACCAGGATCACCAAGAAGCAAAACATTGATGTCTCCTCTCCTTGTTAAGCCATCAGGGAGACGCTTGCGAGAACCACCGAAGAGCAAGGTAGCTACAGACTTTTTGATATCTTCAGATCCATAGATACTGGGGGCAACACTTCTTGCAATCCTCTCATAGACATTGTTGGACTGTGCAAGGCGACGGAATTCTTCTTCCTCACTGGCAGAAATGGAAATGCCAGAGGTGTAGCCACGGCCCTCCTGGTCACACTGGATGCCCACCACTCGGAGATATGGGGCACGAATACCTACAGCAACCTTGTCTCTTGCACCTCTCTGTTTAAACAAATTCAAAAGTGTAAGTCTTCTTACATTCCTTACTACTTTGTTGTGTTAAAAAAGACAAAGCATAAAGCTTAATTTTTTTATTTCTAGCATTCATGGGAAGCATAATGCACAATTCTAAGACATTACTGGAAAAACAACAAATAAATAATAAGGAGTAGTTCCATTATGTCAAGCAACACATTTACTAGCAAACAAGAAAGAAATCAAAGAAAAATATCAACAAAAGAATTTTCATTAACATGAATAACATATATGAACAATAAAATAAGTAACAAATGTCAAGAATATAGAAGGAATATACACACTAGAAATCTAGTAAGTACTTACTGTGGATTTACCAATTTTCTTGATTGAGTAAATACCCAAAACTGTGACTCGGTTCCCAGGTACAACACGCTCACAGAGAGACCTGATAAAGTGAAATCATCATAATTAATACCAAAGTCCACATCTATAAACTAGAGTAATAATCAAACTTTGATAATCATAATACAATAAATATTCTTTCACCAATCAGAATACTAGTTACACTACTTTACCTGTCAACATAGAGTTGGAGATGACGGGGCATCTCTCCCTGTGGCAGATTCTCAGGTACTTCCTGAAGCTTCAGAACCTGGTAGTCCACACATGTGCACCGATCAGGGACAATGAAGAAGGGGTCAAGGGGACACTTCGGACGACCTGCTTGCTCTCTGTCAGATAATTTTCAGGTTAATATCAAAGAACTGGGTAAACAATATCAAAATAAATATATCATATAAATTACCAAAATTAGCTTATGTATAAGGTAGAGGCTTACGTGTTGCATTTTCTTGGCATTTGGTAACCTTCGAGACCAGGCTTGACGGGAATATTTGGGATGGTGGTCTGGCAGGAACGACACTGCACAGTTAGTGTCAGAGCCTTGGCCTTCACTCCTGAGGCTGCAACCACAATACCAGCTACCTTCACCAGTCGGCTAACTTCTTCAGACTAGTGAAAATACACGGCTTAGGTTAGAAAATTTGCCCTAAAGTTTTGTGTTTGATTATAACATTTATCACTGAGTAAAACTGGAATATAGAACTTGGGTAGATAAGAATGCGTACCTGCAGGTTGCGGACATCAACAGGATTTGAGGCAGATGTGAGTGTTATTTGAATATCTTCAACTTTCTCTTCTCCTTGAGGCCTGGGTGCTGTCACCTCATCTGCTACCTCCTTGGCTGCTTCCTCAAACTGCAGAGGACAAATAAGTAAATCATACAGGATATAATGGAAAGGTTTAGTCAGAGGGATTGGTTGTTTTTCTGATAACATTCACTCCACTGTGGGATAAATAAAAATTAGACATCTCACTCATGTCTAAAGCGCAAGATTGTGAAAGTTTTGCTATACCGAATCTTGACACTACTATAGACCCCTCTGTCTTTATGATGAAATATAATATAAAATGAAATGAAAAAGGAGAACTACAGAATTTGCATTTTTATATATAGCAAATAATACTTTGTCCTGAAAGCAGATCTTAGCAAAGGGTGGCTGTTCCTTTGTTAATTGTATTAATTTCTGATTTATTTTGAAACAAAATCCCAAGTGTTTTGCACAAAATGAAAAAAAGTTTCATTATACAAAATAAATAAATTGCAGTTTAGCTTCTGCAGCTTGTGGTTATATGCAGCATTTTTAAGTTAAACACAATACAGACACTAATGTGTGGACATGCAATAACTAAACTTGTAACTCATTTGGGATAGAAATCATGAAATAACATTAAGTGTTTTCACACTATCTACAGCTAAACTTTGCTCATGTATATTCTGCAAGTTTGAGCCTGGACTAGTCTCTACTTGACAAATTCTCAGGGATGATAAGCCCTATTTTATTTTACAAAGGTTTGTTTGTATTTGCTGGAGCATGAGGCACAGAGGTCAAGGAATAGCTTAGACTTTGATTTGCAGACTTAGATAATTGTAGCCTTATCTTTTCTTCCTACAGACAAATATTCACACCTACTGGCATTTCATACAGGTCACATTCTGAATTTAAGTTATAGCTGTGGTTCAAAGAAAATTCAGAACAAACAAACAATCTAAAGCAAGATTTTCTCTCCCTGCTGATTTAAGATAGCAAAGAAAATATCACCATCAATTGTGCAACATGCAAGATAAGTAAAGGTAGTCAGAATATAGAAATATTCTCCTGGGAAAGACGACAATACACAGTAAGCAAAAGTAAATGAATATTCTAACAAATACTGATGAGGAGGAGAGGACCGTGATTAGATACGACTATATTTAGATGTGATAAATAAAACAGAAATAAAGAAAGATTAACACGAGGAAACATACAAAAAGGAAAAGAAATATAGCGAGAAATTAAAAAATAAAGAAGAAGAAATTGGACAATCAATAAGAACTTAGATATAACTTTTCTGCAGTCAATAAAACGAAGCAGGCTTTATATACACAGATAAAATACTGACCAGAGGCAAGTGTTCCGTGGGGGCCTTCTTGAGTTTGTCTGCCAGGGTCTCGTCAAAACTTGCCACATCTTCGAGGCTGACTTCAAGGTAAAACTGGCGGAGATTATACTGGCGCTTAAGCGAATCCCTGAAAATAAATGACTGAATTATTACCATGAATACTTAAGATATCTAGATTAAATAATTCAATTTAATAACTTATTACAGTGTGCTCCTGTTCTGGAGACTAATCAGGCTTACCAATTTGCAATCTTAACTGAACAAGATGAATTTAATAAAAAAAAAAAAAAAAAATCAAATTCAGCTAAAAATGACAATTAATACTCAAGAGAATAATTTACAATTATTTATAGATTGATGCATACAAAACTCGGTTTAATTGATAATTGTATAAAAACAGCAAATACAAATATATACCCGTTACTCCTTACTGAGATTTAGGCAAACCCTAAAACCATACAACAGGGCTTGTTTTTCTTCCTTGCACAAACATGAGCTTAGATGCTCTACAAGATAACCATAGAAGACTCATACAGCGGTCTAAAAACCAGGATTTTTCACCTTGCAATCAAACTGGCCGTTCCATCCAGAATCAGGGGGAAATTTGCTCTGCTGAACGGCCTACAATTTCAGCCTCAACACAATAGCAAGCCACTGGACCTGTGCTAATGCAAACCTCCACCACATACATTTTAGGAGAGATTACGCTGGCTCCCTGTTTGATACTAAACACCCAAGGCCTACAGGCTATTTCTTTCAATGAAGGAAGAAAAAAAAAAAAAGAAAAAAAAACAGAACAAGACAGGCCAATGAAGGAAAAAAAAAGAAAACCAAAACAGACGACAAGGCCTACAGGTTTCTTTCAATGAAGGAAAAAAAAAAAAAAGAAAACCAAAACAGACAACAAGGCCTACAGGCTATTTCTTTCAATGAAGGAAGAAAAAAAGAAAACCAAAACAGACGACAAGGCCTACAGGCTATTTCTTTCAATGAAGGAAAAAAAAAAAAAAGAAAACCAAAACAGACAACAAGGCCTACAGGCTATTTCTTTCAATGAAGGAAGAAAAAAAGAAAACCAAAACAGACGACAAGGCCTACAGGCTATTTCTTTCAATGAAGGAAAAAAAAAAAAAAGAAAAAAAAACAGACACAAGGCCTACAGGCTATTTCTTTCAATGAAGGAAGAAAAAAAAAAACCAAAACAGACGAAAAGGCCTACAGGCTATTTCTTTCAATGAAGGAAAAAAAAAAAAAAAAACAAAACAGACAATATTTCTTTCAATGAAGGAAAAAAAGAAAACAAAACAGACGACAAGGCCTACAGGCTATTTCTTTCACTACAGGCTAGCTATGACTTTCAACGAAGGAAAAAAAAAATAAAAAAAAGGACACCTGAACTCCCCTCGCCTTTGACGGAGAGACCAACGTTACTCAGCTGGTGGAGGATGCCCGGGTCTTACCTCCCTTTCCCCTGCCGCAAATACCCTAAAGACATAGGCCTACTCGACAACAGACTGACCAGAGCCTGTGTAATGAAGCGAAAATCCCCATTTCGACAGATACTACTGGTGTTAATTAGCTCTCGAAGGTAATTTCGGTTAGTAATTAACAAGTAAATTAATGACATTCTTCATTCGTGAGGGAAGGACGGATCCCAAGACCTTTGTTTACACTGAGGTTGTGTTTACGTGATGTTATCTCCCTAAATAACCTCCTTTATCAATTCCTCCGAGAGTAAAGAACAATAACTTGACTAATTACCCTTAAATTAACGCGAATTCCAGGTAACACGTGGGAAAAAAAGACAAATGAAATCTTCCCAAAATTCTAAAGCCAAACCCATTCTATTCACAAAATTACAAGATAAGCACGAATCAAAATCACTTCAAAATCCAATCCAAATCTTCCCCTGATCCCTAATCTTCCTCCCTCCAACGAATGAAGGAATAACAGACGCAGATAATAAAAGAAAAAGAAGAAAATGTCCCTCACCTATACTTGTAGTTGAAGTTGCCTTCGTGGAACTGCCGCAGGAACTCCTTGAACTTCTTCTTAACGGCCTGTAAATTGATCTGACTCTGGTCCTGCTGGTCCTCCGAGGAGAAGTTGTCCGAGAAGAAGATGCCGGGGTCGTCGAAGCCTTCCATTTTGTCGTTTTAAAGGGGAAATAAGCGAGAAAACGGGCGTGATGGAGGGAGGTCGTGCGGGTCCGGCGGCTTCCCTAACACTGAAGGGTTTTGGCGGGAAAGGTTTTTGGCGCCAAATTTCCTGCGCATGCGTCGTGGAGGTTGGGGGGGGAGGGGTGGGATAGGGGGAAGGGAGGGAGGGTGCAGACGATGCTTCGAAGAGGAGGGAAGGGAGAATGGGTGAGAGGTGGAGGGGGGATGGAGGGAATATGGGGGAGAGGAGGAGGGAATATGGGATGAGACGAGGGAATATGGGGAAGAGGGAAGGATTGGGAAGAGGGAATATGGGGAGAGAGGAGAGAATATGGGGAGAGAGGAAGGTTGGAGATATATATTTATATATATATATATATATATATATATATATATATGTATTATATGTTGTATATTTTACATATACACACATATATACATGTGTGTGTGTGTGTGTGTGTGTGAGTATTTTATATGTATATACATATACATATATATTTACATATATATATGTTTATATATACATACATACATACGTATATATATATATATATATGTATATATATATATATATATATATATATATTATATATATATATATATTTCTATGTGTTATTTTCTATATATCTATCATTATCCATTAGTATTTGAATTTATATTCATCTATATCTATCTATCCATCTATCTATCAGTATATGGTAGAAAAGCAACAATGCACAAAATATCTCATAATCTATCTATCTCTTTATTCATCAAATATCTGTCTATCTATATATCTACATACATGTTTATCTATCAGTCTGCTTGACTCTATTTCTGTCTCTATTTTTCTGTTTTGCTCTCTCTCTCTCTCTCTCTCTCTCTCTCTCTCTCTCTCTCTCTCTCTCTCTCTCTCTCTCTCTCTCTCTCTCTCTCTCTCTCTCTCTCTCTCTCTCTCTCTCTCTCTCTCTCTCTCTCTCTCTCTTCTCTCTCTCTCTCTCTCTATCTCTCTCTCTCTCTATAATATATATATAAATATATATATATATATATATATTATGTATATATATATACACATTTATATATATAAACGTGCACACAAACAACTATACATAAACGCGCGCGTATGTATGTGTGTGTGCGTGCGTGTGTGTGTGTGTGTGTGTGTGTGTGTGTGTGTGTTTGTACGTGTGTATTTGTACGTGCGCGCGCGCGCGCGTGTGTGTATATGTGCGTGTGTGTGTGTGTGTATGTGTGTGTGCGTATGTGTGAGTGTGTGTGTGTGTGTGGTATATAGCATGAAAGGCAAGACCCTTTATCATTCCTTTCAAACAGACAAACATTTTTTTTTTGTATATATCTTATATATATCAATGAATTATTAGGTTTATATGATAAAAAAGAATGAAGTAATTTTCTTTATGCACCAAAAAAATCATATATTGTAGAAATAATGAATATGGGTATCACCTTTTTTTTTTAAAGTTGGGTGTTTGGAGTCACGAAATTTCCCAGGGGGATTGCCAAACTTATAGAAAATATCACCAATATATATGATTTGATAACAAAAAATTATAATTTATTTATTTAATTGTCTATGAATTATACATACGAAAAAATGAGCGGAAAATATAGAAATAGATAACTATTATGTAGGTTTTAAAAGTCTCCAAATATACCTGAACATTATCTCAGTTCGATTGTTTACAAAATGGTCAAAGAGTTTTATTCAATCCTGTTCGTATTGAACCAAAATATTTATTTATATGATTTTCGTGTACTATGTATGTCAAAAAGATGGCGCGTGGCTTTCATTTTTAAATTTAAATACTTAAAAAGATTTCGGAAAGGCGAATAGGCTTAGCTTGGGAAAATATTTTGTACAACTAGTTGTGTCAACAGAGTTCCCGAGCGTATCGGTTTGTTACAGTAAGCGAGCTGTTTAAGCAGCTCAAGGATGTCTCTCTTATGAAAACTGTCTCGTTTCCCATCGTCAATTAAATTAAACACCGAACCGAAATGGCCAGGAAAAAGGTGAGTTGCTTCGGAATGAAAGGGAAAGCGTATTAGAAACTTAAACACAGAAAGTATAGCGAAATTGGCATATCTGGAGAGGCAATTTTTTTCCTAGGAGCGAATTTGGGAGATCGAACTGTCAAACTGAACGTCATTTTCATCTAAAATTACTTTATCTAGTTATTATCATAACTTCTCGTAGTATAACTGATAAACCTTCATTATAGGTCCGGGTTGTTGATGCTAAAGATATCGAAACCCATGGATATGCTTTGGACCTGTACTGGTAGCATCCTGTAGCTTTCCTAAGCTGGCCTTATAGCCTATCCCCGAGCTTGGTCAGAGGAAGTAGGGACGGTAGAAATGATGTCAGGGAATGAAGGGAGTGAATGTAAAGTAAAAAGTAATTATTAATATCCTTTTGGTCCCATTTCAACCAACTGCATGCGAAAAAATCCTGCGCAACCAAAACAGTCAAAGTTGCTGTCCTCTAATCCTTTGCTTGGTAAATAACCATCTCGGTATGTTATGGCAAGATGGACTTCGAACCCTAGAATATCAAATCTGGATCCTTTCCAGGTGACAGGTATGCCATTGCTGCCTATAGTATGCCCGCTCTAAGTTGTGTGTGAACAAGAATAGGTTGTTGGTTTGGCCATTATTTCTGTAACTAAAATAGATTTAAATTCATCTTTTAGCCTTGTTAACTGGAAAATAGTTTACATTGCAGTTAAAATTGCACAGATTGGGGAAATTGTATGGTTTTCTTTCTTTTGATAATTGCTTTGAGAGGCTGACTGTGTATGATGCCCAGTGTGTGGTCCAGTATGGCATGTGGCACACTGGTTGATATTGGGTTAAATAGGTAGAAAAGGTCTAAAGTATGCTAGTGAAAATGCATCGTTAAAGTGTAAACAGTTATTAAAAAAAAGAAACAAAAAAAATAACATTGTTATTGAACAGTATATATAATGAAAAGTTTCTTTTGCTTCCATAGCATAATTGAAATTATTTGTATAGTGTGCCGGTTCATTGTATAGAATGCATATTAATATTTTTCAAATTACCGTATACACTCACAAATTTTCAGTTGACATGATATCAGGTGATCGTGACAGCATGCACATGTAAATATCAATCTTTTTCTTTTTTTTTGCTTCGGTTTCATGACTTAATTGCAGACTTCCTTTTTTTGTATTATAATGTACTTTACCGTCTTTTTTATCCTATGACAATAGATTATATATTATATGTTGTATGATATATATATATATTTTACGTGTTCATCAATTCTGACATTGAGCTTAAAAAAGAAAAGAAAAGAAAAGAAAAAAAGATTATCAGATGCTTGTTAATCATGAAAGTGACCAAAAGTCAGAGTATGAAAAACATTGACTATTTTTTTTTGTATAGTTTGAAATTGTGCTCACTCTGTAGCTGAAAAAAGTTAATAGTTTCCAACAAACCACTAACCTAACTTACACTGTGATCCAACAACACTTTAAATAGCCATACCAGACCACTATCAGTGAGAATTATTTTGAGAATTCACTGCTGCAAGATAAGAATGAAAGTGGAATCACAAATTCCTTGGTGGGGGAAGAAGCAGGATAGGAATGGGCTCATTGGGCACTTTGTAAACATATGGTTGATAAATCGGCTGGCCCAGCTGCTGACATTTGATTTGTCTCTGCCAGGGGTTCCCAACTTGAGGGTGCCACAGTGTACATTCTAGGGGGCTGTGGAGCAATAAGAAAAATTAGATGTTGAAATAAACTGAATTTTATCTCACAGTACCTACATACAATTATCTCTTACATATTAGAAGATTGTAATCTTTCCATAAAGTGCCCTTGTCCTATAGCTATTGACACCATTACACAATTCATAACTAGTAATAACTGATTTTGAAAAGATGACAACGACTGAACGAGTCATAGAGATTATTATATATTGGTCTGGGGCCACAGAATGAAAAAGGTTGGGAACCACTGGTCTAGGCTCTGTCTTGTCATGGGGAAACCAGTTGATGTTTGTTTTTTCATGAGTGGTTACAGGGTGTATATGCAAGTCATGTGACATAGGTGGTTTTAGAATTTATTTGATCCTACATTTTTTTAAATATTTTATTTTCATAAATTGCACTTTAATTTTTACTATTTTCCATCATCTTCACTCAATGAAGAGGGCAATATTTTATTGGTGGATCTTGATTGACAAGTATATATGGTGTGCTAAACAGTCCTTTGGTACTAATAAGTATTGGACACTGTCATCCACTTTATTACACCATATTGTGTGTTTTGTTGGTGCTAATGCCAGAATTTGGCTTACTAGTTCTATAGCATTCATTTTGCTTTAGAATACATTTATTTGTAATATTCACTTCTTTAAGTATTAATGCTCCTTTTTAAAGTTACATATTCATTTCAGCTCCTATTTCATTATTTGAACTGATAGATATACTAACTTGTGATCAGTGAATGAATGGTATTCTTCAGATTATATCTGTGTAAAGCCAAAACTGTGTATAGATGTGGAGTGATAATTTAATGATGTATAAAGTGGCAACTGCCTGGGAGTTGCTGATGGTGATGTTGTGAATGGCTTGGCAGGTTGATATAATACTAGTACTGTTTATATAAGCTTCTGGGGTGGTTAATTTTTGTCTTGGGGTCAGTTATATGATTTTACTTTATTTTCTTTGAGGGGATGGCAGCTTGTGAAGATTATAGTAATGACACTTGAAAGACAAGGAAAAGTCCATATACTTGATCAGGTATTGCTGTGATTGTTTTCTCTAGATGAAATGGATTAATAGATCATTAGGAATTAATTCTTTAGACTGTTTTCGAATTTGTACAAAATGTTCAGTGGCTTCCCTCCCTGATTTCTTCCCTACTTCACAGAATCGCAGCACCAGCTCAGAATCTGCAAGCTCAACCAGCGGGTCATCGTCATCGTCCTCCTCCTCGTCTTCTTCCTCTTCCTCCTCTTCATCCTCGGACTCTTCATCCTCCTCCGACACCGATCAGTCCTCTGCCGTTTCCACCAGGTGAGAGAAGGGCTAAGGGTCCT